TTTCCTTGTCCCAGAGTGTGTAATAGCCGACAGTAGATTGACTAGACAGTACCATTTGTTGTAGCGGTGTTCTCGTCCAGTGAGTTTTTGACAGAATTTAAAGACGGCGGATATGATTGCCGCTTGGTCTTCTACAACAAGGCTTACACCCAAGCATAGTCAAGAAACGAATCGAAATGACCAGTCGGTATCTTAGCCGATCCATACCTGCAGTTGAGATTCATTTCAGAATCCAGAACTCCATCACCGCATTCTATCGAATTCATCCATGTGTCAGTAGAAAATGACTTCAAGTGTTGTCAATTGGTTGAACATATTTTATTGCCCAACACTGACAGCTGAACTATCGTTGATTCAGACACCGGTTGACAATCTTGTTTATTCCCCAAAGAGACCGCTTATCTCTTGTCGGAAGGAATATACGAATAGAGATTTCAAATTCACTTGGTTGGATTTGTGTTCCCAGTGCCGTTGGAATCGTACACCAGTTTCCTGAACGTGTTTGAAACAAGAAACAGACCAACAGAACTGTGATAACAAAACCGGACAATATTCAGAGGGGACGTACTGCTTATCACCAGAAATTCATGGAGGTAGAAAGTCAGAAAAGAGAGTCGTATCGCCGATAAAGGGCCGAGTAAAATGCTCTCTCTTCAAGGCTTCACGAGACAACAACTGTACAACATTGTCTACAGTTATGTTGCCTGTTTTTGTGTCACCTACGAACGTTTTCACAAATCGCATATAGGTCTTAATTTGTTTCTCAATGCCGAATTCATATAGATTTTACTGTGGGAGTTCGCTGTTTACTGAGCATTGAACTAAGTTTTGTGGGACAAGCGGGTGAGTGATTCCTGGGTTATTGAGTAAAATAATGTATCGTCGCGGACCTTCATTGGCATAAGCTCTCAATATTGTAAGATTGAGATGTTTGAGGCTACTATGTTACGTAGGAAGCCGAACAAAAGTTGTTTCGATATCATGTATACAGGGGTTGATTAAACTCTTGCAACATCATTCTCATTTTGTTGTTTTTCAACTGATTCACCAGCCAACATCGTCGAAATCGCGAAATCGTACATTTTAATGGCATGTGGCTCACAGAAGCAAAGACAAGTGGGTATAATACCAGATATGTTACGTCTGATGTGGGGCAATATCATATTCGATCCCCCGTGAATGAGGCTGGAAAAATGTAGCATTGAGAAGAACAAATGTGATGAAAATCAGGATGTTGCATGAGCGTGATCAATACCTGTATTTTATGAGGTAGTGGGTTTGGGAAGTATGACCTACTTAAAAAAATGTTGGCTACGGTATCAACCCGCTGAAATTGTGTTAAGCTTCCGAGTTAGATTGTTTGGGAACAAAATGTTCCATGGTTTGGGACACAAAGTGATATTGCGCTTATACACGATAACCAACATCCTTATTCTCTTCTTAATTTCATGTTCTTCATCGGAGCTTTAAGTGCACAAATTATCTGTATCTGATCAAATCAATGGTCTGAAGATGACTATCCTTCTTGGAACAGGAAGGTGGTGAACAAAGTGAATAGCTCAAAGCACCTTATACTGAAAGCAGAAGAAATCTGGACATGGTTTTTCTCATGTATTGTCCTGTACTGAAACTAAAAAGACGCTGGAGGTGTCGTTTCCCAATGGTAGTATTGCGATTGGTTGGCATTAACTTCGGCGTAAACTATACGGATTACTATTGCCTATTTCTTTGCCACAAATTATACTAATAGTTCAACAAACCAAATAAATATCACAGAGTATAATATTGTTTGTATATCAAAGTTACCATCACTTTTTTATGAGACTGAGTGTTTGAAGTGTCATCGCTGTTGTGGAAACATAAGTTGAAGGCAGATAATCACTCGATTTTTCGGATATCTCTGACAGTATCAGTCCAACGACAGCCATTGATGACCAGGACGATGTTCATGTTGATCCAGTTGCTTCTCCACAACCGAAAACCCAAGATTGAGAGTGGGCCGAGGTCACCGTGCTTGACCATGCTTTACACAAGCCCATAGCACACGAAAGTGCATGGGTAATGGTTGTACAAACTGAAACTGAAAGTTTCCCATAGCTTCACCCGTGAAGAGCATCATCATATTATTTTATTCTTACTTTCTACTATCCAGACTGTATGCCAAACAAATATCGGTAGAACAATGTTTACTACGAGGAATTCAATTCATGCTCTGGCAGTATGGTTCAGACCAGACAAAATTAAACGAATTTCCGGGTGGGGGGGGAGGGGGAATTCAAAACCGGACCCTTCAGCTAGTCGAATTCTGACAAGCAAAGTAGCGGAGTGGTATGTGAAAAACATAATCCTCTGGGGTTTGGTGTCCATTTCATAGATCATACGCCGTTTGAATGGAGTCAAACGTTCAAGGTACCAAATATAGCTTGATGACTAATCCAGCTGGTAACTAGTGATGTGTCTCGTACGTTTCATAATTTGGTCACTTTGATATCAGGCTTTATCACTAACAGTCTCGAGTTGGTGGCCCGTAGTTCATCGACCCGATATATCAGCTTTTGGTTGTTTCATTATGGTGGGAATCACCTTGACCACGTGAAAGCAGCAGAGGTTATTTGAGACGCTCCATCGCATAGTAACGTTTCACGAGTTGCATGGAGGGCTGATCAGTCATTATGACACTGGGGGCAACTGGATGAAGAGAGCAACTGAGTGTTTGTTTTGACAGTTCGGTGATTGGGTGTTATGGAACTGGTGTAAGTCGCTGTATACGACGACGTTGAAGTAGTTCTAAAAACTTTTCGGCGTTTAAACTTTAGGGTATCCCTTTGTTGATGAGAAGCCGGTCGCTCCAAATGATATTGGTAGAATGATTCCAGCTGCTTTGTACCTCTTTTTCTTGAAGACCAGATTTCGTAGTCTTAGGTCAGGATGAGAAGAAAGACAGTGTTTAATACATTGCGCTCTGTCCGTAAACTAATCTTGTTATGCAATCCCAAAGTCCGCATTAGTTGCAAGAATGATCTTGATCCGTCAATTTACGGGATAATCATAGCTTTTGTGTCCCCACCGTGAAGTGTGACAGAACCTGGATATCTAAATGGAGTGAATTGTTCGTTTACATTTTTGCTGATACAATTGTAAGGACTCCGGTTCGGATACTTTTACCTCTAATGTGACGCTTTGGGAAGAGATGAATACGGTTACGAATCGGGGGCATGCCTGCCATTCAAAAACTCCGGGTGCAAAAATTCACAGGTTCAAGCTCAAATGGAAATCGTGATAATCNTCTCGACAATATGCAATTGATGGCCTACTAAAATAACACTAAACAGAGATTGAAATTCACCCTCTACGCTCCAGTTGTACTGAATATGAGTGAATGGTGGTATAAATTGAGGTCACCAAAAACCTTTGAAGGTTCGTTCTAAGAAAACACACAAATGATTCGGTTTGGGCGGAACAGCTTGTGATAGATACCCGCAACGTCAACTAACGGACTTCAACCCTGACCGGCGCCCAAGACGGTAAGTGTTCGTCCAAGATCAACCGCACAATCGGAACATCCGGGTCTATGGATAAGAAAAATAGTACAGATTGAATGTATTTGTCTCACTTACATCGTCTGATGGCGTATGAACTACCTATTTGTATCTTATACCATTAACAGCCTAAAGACGAGATGATTTTTGTGTTTCGCAGTCAAATCAGTTGATTGATTAAGACTATCTGCATAAGCTGCGAAAGAATAAAAATAACGTCTATTTCAAAAAGGTTGATATAAAAGTTCCAATAACACCGGGTACCAAAGATGGGGGGTGACAGCATTCCGAGAAGAAACTAGCGCGCAAAGACTGGGTGAGGTTCCTTCCGTTTTCTGGCAACAATGATCAATAATTTAATCCTATCCGGCAAAACAAAGTTTTCGGGTTTTCCGGAGGTCGTTTTAACTCATGTACTGAGACGTTAAAGTAACTTTTAACCTCGTAAGTCAGTTTTTTAAAGTGTATATCGGAAAGTAAAGATCCATTTTAAATTCAACCCGCATGTGAATATTTATGGTCAATATTTGACACCGTTTTGGTGTTTCTGACAGCTTATGCCAGAATCATCTTATATTCCAAGTCCGAGGCCAGTTCAGTATGATTTAGCTGAAAACAACTTTCCCTTGGAGAAAGGGTTTATTGATTTGGATTATGTCTTTTCAGTAAGCTGAGTTTCATCCGGCACTGTAAACTGCTTGCTGGTTAGGATTGGTTTCTAGAATGTATCGGACTTTTCTGAAGCTAAGAATAGGATTTGTTCAGGTGAATATTGGTAGTCAAGTGTCAGACATTATTCAAAAGTATTTTCTAGACTAGAAGCTTTGTAGAAGCTAGAGAATTAAACAAAGGAACCCAACTATTTTCAGTGTGGGACGTTTATGACCGAAAAAACATCCATCTGGCGAATTTTAATTTAGCACCAAAACGAAACATTCTGCTGCTTCCTTTCATTTATCTCTTGTGAAATAGATTCTGTCCCACACAAGTTGTGATTTTTCATTTTCGGAGGAGTGTTACTGTATTTAAAGACAATAGAAATCTGTGCGAGGACCGACGGTGAGAGCTGGACAGCTATAGAGTCCTGGCTGGGACTCGTCGGCAGAGGGTACTTTTTGTGTCCCTCTCAGGACTCAAACTGCAAACGTTTGGGTTGGGATTTGGAACACTCAACCACGAGCTATCCGGCTGTCTGCCAGCACCTTGAACGAATGGCTCGATCAACCAAGACGGTGAATATTTCGATCATCAAAATTGCCTGGTGTCTGCAAAGAAACCGAATTGCTTAATCCAAATATTCATTGGCTAAAGTATTATTGCACGCCAACGTAATCAATAAGCAATCAAGGTTCTTCATCTATTTCCCTCAATTGAGTACTTCAACCTTTGTGACCCAGTTCGATCATTTCCCTCATCCTTCCAATATCAATACGCAGACAAAGTAGTATAAGCAAGAACGATATGGACGACGAGGTGGAAGAATCGGAGGCTTTCGATTTTGTCAATCCCAACTGTCCGAAAGCGTGGGTCGTGGCCGGCACTGTGCTCCTGATTGTCGCTATCGTTTTGGCTTGTGTCAGTGCAGCCGTACCGCAGCGTCTGGAGGTTGAGCCCACCGTGACCGGTTCTCTCATGTCTGGTTTGCAGAGCTCATTCAAGTCCGGATACTTGGAGATTTGTTTTGCTCAAGGCAAGTCATCCGTTCGGTTCTGTTCGATTTCTACAATTTGAGGAAATAAATATTTGTTTTATGCGTGATTCATTTCGTATACTCTTCAGAAACGATGTCTATGCGTCTATTACCCCGAATTTGGTTTTACAAAAAGGATTTGGGCCTGTTTTACCGATCCTCATTAAGTCTCTTTTGGGTTACTTTGCTTGATCTGTTTTAATGTTCAACGATGTGTGTCGGAACAAACCTCAATCCCTGTGAGACACGGATTACTCTCTCTCTCTCTCTCTCTCTCTCTCTCTCTCTCTCTCCTTTCCTCCAATGCGAATCAAAGAAAACTTCTTGAAGTAAGAATGGATCATGTTGTAACACCATAACTGTAAAAAATGTATGAATCCCGTATACTCCTTCGGGAAGTTGTCTGATATGAGAGTGGACTGCTATTACATCAAATTTCTCACGTGACATAGTGATTTCATCACGCAAAGTACCCCGATTCAAATGGGACCGTACTTCAATAGAATCGCGCTCATTATCATATATATTGATTAACCATTTCACCATTTGACCTCACGCGTGAGGTATTATTCAATTTCAGCTTGAAGGAGTTGATAGCGAACTCTCGGGACAGCAGCTCATTCAGTTATTCAAACAAATATGTATATGGATACCAATTTACAAAATTTGTGCAAACCAACACAGTAACTTCCTCGTCGAAGTTGGTGATTGAGTTGTTAAACCCAGGGTCACTAACAAATCATGGGTCTTTCGCAGCTGGGTCAGACCAATAATTTTTATACGAAAAAGGTGACCAGCATTCCATTTAATTAAAGAACTGTACACATCAAAGTAGCTTTCATTTCCAGTCGGTGTGATGATACTCTCGAATGAGAAGTCATTGTTGACAATTATCAGGCACTGTGGTTCAATGTAGGATTTCAGTTACACTAGAGTATTCCTTATCAAATTCCCGCGCTGCATTTCAGTGGATATTCTTTTATGCAGTTTGACAAATAACTCATGCATCGGCTCCGGTTGAACGGAAGAAAAATTCAGTAAAATCAATCTATGGCAAGGATAATTTCATTAGTCCTTTGTTACTTTTTCCAGTTTTTCTGTGAATAAAGCATGATTTATAAGGTAATAGTGTTTTATACAAGGAGTGTGGATATCTCTTCTACTTATTCAAATATCCACGAATGGCTTAGTGGCAGTAGCGATAGAAAAAAAACGTTGCACAGTACTTACGAGAATTGGCTTCACGTTTTCCCGAAAGCAGCAGATAAGCTTGAATTACTATCAGGTTGTTTAATTACGGGACACTTGAAAGTCGTCTCATGATCGAACAAACCAAGCCACCGTCTTCTTGATACGCTTTTGTGGTGTCCGGTCTCAGCCCACATCCTGTGTCATTCAAAGTCGAAAGTTAGGCTAGAAATCACTTCAGTTCGGCTTTTACTACCATCAGCTATGCAATATACCGCGCTGGTTTCGGTTACTGTCTCATGTCTGCTCAGTTGGGTGAAAGAGTCAAGGGAAGATAGGAATGCTCAAACCAGTGTCAAATTGAAAATAGAGTATTCACAAAGATTATGGCTTCAATGACAATGAGCAGATACACGAGTACCACTATTTACGACACAGCCATATCACTCGGTTTCCTTATCCATCGATTACGCTGATCGCGATGTATCAAATCAGGAAGATTCATGCCACCTATGTGAACAAGTCTCCTGGCCAGAATTTTCTTTCACTCATGTAAAGTCTCATTCTGACCTCACTTTACAACAACTGTCTCGGCACACAGATTTTGTCTTGGCAGTGCATTTGGCGCCACGTGGCCCAACCAACGTAATCTATGGAGGTCAACCACTTGTTCCAGTGGCTGATCGCGGTTTTCTAGAACTATGCACTATGCTTTTTCGGTTACCGCACTAAACTCGTGCAATGCAGATTAGACAGCGGTGTTTGAACACTGACAGTTTATCTTTTTCCTGTTTTCGTAATGGCCAAGTTTCTGCACCGTATAGCAGAACTGACCCAATCGCTGCAGTTTACTCTCGACCGTCCACCTACAGCAGAATGGTGGAACGGTGACGCAGATGCCTTAAGTTCGCAAATGCCACTCGAGCCCGTTGTAAGCTGACAATTACACCCAGATTGGGGGTTGCTCAACTCGTTTCATAGCCGTACCGTGAGTATACGTGAATTTTGATCCTTTTCCCTTTAAACTTTCATTTGACAAGTCGATATTAGTTGAGGAAGGTGGCTATCTTTCTTTTCTTAGTTAACTGGGTACAGTGCTCCTCCCAAAGCCTCCGTATATTTGTTAGTGCGTTTCCCGGTTTCTGGCTGGTCGCCTTAAGCGCATTAAAGAGCCTTTGCTGAGGAAGCTGTTCTCACTATCTTCACAAGGAGAGGCGTTTCCCCACCAGGGTTAAAGGAGGACAACTCAACGTCCTGCGTGCACTATCGCCGGGTCGATGTACCGGTCACTCACCGTCCGCTTAGGGTAGTTGTCTAAAAATCCTGATGCCGAACAAATGAAGAAGAAATGTACGTATTGCACCCACATCGTTCTGTGAGTGCCAATGTTTATCGGTTTGTTTGGGAATCGAGGTGTGTTGAGCGCCGTGGAGGTTCGACTCCGTTTCAAGAGCGTATTGTTCGATTGACTGGACAGCATCGCGCATGGGCTTTGGCTTTTGCACACCGCTTTTCTGACTTGCAATTGGACAGGGAGATTGAGCAACCTGACAGTATCTACCCCGTGAGCAAATTACGAGCGTTTTTTTTTAAAGATTATTGCACCGTGACCTGGACCCAGACGGGTGTAAAATATGATATGTAAATAATGGTGCCTCCAGTAAACAGCGAACATTCTCTAATCTGGTAGCACTTATTTGCTCCACAAGTGTTTGGTCTTCGAGGGGACTTTAGTAACACAGCACAAAACATAGTTTGGACCCGGAGAATGATAGTCAGCTGTAACCTACCTACCGAGTGGTGTTTGTGGCAGTATTGGTGAATATCGAGTTTGATGTGAGATCAAAAACAAATGTTTAGTTCTAGTCTATTTGATCAGATAGGAATCTATTATTATTTACTTCATGCGCTGCTTTCTGCGGTTCACAATGAGTGTTCTTTTCTGCTTTATATTTTGGACAAGAATTCCACTTACTATTCAGGTGCAATTCTTTGCAGTGGACATGAAGCTTAAATTTCAACTATTGCTGGGAACGTTTCCCACGTAGCCATCTCATTTTCCATATCATCCTTAGCATCTGAGTCAAACGCATGTGCATTGTTCACAGATGCGGCTGTTTCTCTTTGACAGCTCAACTATAAATGCCGGGATAGACGATACACCTATATTTGTATACAATTTTATTATTAGTCCATCTCAGAGGCACGTCATCAACTCATGACAACCCTGTAGTTTTTCTGGGTAGTCCAGACAAGTCAAAAATTAGTCTGGTCTTTTGGAAATACCACATTTCTTGCACCATTCGAGGATAGTTGAATAAAGACTCACTTTTCAACAGTAAGGCTTTGTTGAAATTTGTGCAGTCAACCATTTTAGCGGACGAAAACCATTATGCTACATCTCCTGAATCCCCTTCATTGGTTTCTCCTATATGCACTCCGGGTGCGGGTCGATGGTTTGAGTGAACAACGGTAAACCGATGACAACACTACGCACTTTAGATATCGGTGAAACAACTAGGATTTGAATTCACTCATTCTCTGTCTCACAGTTACTCACTCACAATCAGTTTTGGTGCCCAGTCTTTTGCACAACTCTTATTCCCTTAATTCCCCCTTAAACCGAAATCGATTGAATAGCTCTATAACGCAAATTGCACAATCGCGTAACTTATCAATATGGGTCTGGAATATCTTATTCATGGATCCTCCCATATTAATAGGATGCCTTGCGATGAGCTACCGTGAAATAAAAGTTATAACATGAAGCAAATCCCAACTACCTTGATATCTTTGAGATTGAATACTGAAAATCAGTTTCCAACAGGCATCACCGCATATGCAAATGACTACGCTTCCAGAAAGACTTACACGAATTACACGGAATCCCTCGATATACCTGAACGCAATCAAATGATTCCAATGGTCTTCTGAGAAGCGTTTGGACAATTGAAAGCGTTCAAGCCTGCCATAACAGAACGGTCTGAAAGCTGTTTGTATGTAGGTGTGATATAATTCACTGCAGATAATATGTGTTCACTCGTGGGGACAGTGTATGACTGTTGTGCAACAGGAGGGGAGATATCACCGTTTTGAGAAGAAAAAAACAAGAGCAATCATGAAGATGATTTTTATTAGGAAGATAAATACATTTCCAATAAGTTCTTTTCCGTATTATTGACTTTACATCATTGTGTTTTACTGGTAACTTGTTTTGCGTTTGAGATAAAAACTTACTTTCCTAATACTAAATTTGTTCCCAACGGTATTTATTGCAATTGCTTGGTTGGCAATAAATGTTATGGAGTTTGAATGGACTCAAAGGCCTAATATACGCATGTGCTCTTCTAGTATCCTGTATCGCTCCAAGTCTCCGGATCTGTTCGACAAATTTCCGTCAACCGTGAATCTACTGCATAAGGTATATATTAGTCTCAATTAGCCACGTGACCTCCACCTGCTTGAAAACGTTTATCTAACTTCCCAAATTAGTTAACTTCATAACTCATTACTTCAGTGGTCTGAGCTGAACCCATAACCACGGTCTGTGATTTACCCTGGGGGAGCAAATACCTCAGCTCCGATCAGGCACATCGTTGCAAGCAGCCAGTCAATAATCGCGTTCAAGAAAGCGCTGTATCCGTTGATTTCTGTTTGCACAGCAATATTAACCTGTTCGCTAGCATGTATACAAAGTCATCTGGTCTCAAATTTGGAATGCAGCGAAACCGGTGAACTGATACTGATAACTAACTGATAAATAGAGAGAGAAAAAAAGTTTGCAAAATTAGAAACAATCAGAATTAATGCTATTTTCTAATAATTTGTCACTTTTTCGATCGCCCTTCACACG